GTAAAACCCCTTAGATATCATGATGAACTGATGCTCTCTATAGGGAGTCCCGAGGCTGTCTCTCCGAACCACAGCCCAACATTTTGGAACTACAACCGCTCAGTGGGAGATTACGCCCAGAGCCTGAGGAAGTTCCTGTACCAGCCAGCCTGCCGCTCTCAGGCCCCGTCAGCCCACAAGGATGAGACGGACCTGGGCTCCAAACAGGCTGCGGAGGAGGTCTGTAAAATAGCACTGTATGCTTTAATCATGCGCTAGTAAAGAATTTTTTTTTTTTTCCCCAAAACCAAGTCTTGCCATCTGAGTTTGCCTGTGTCGGAGTAGAATGTATGATTGGCGTAAAGTTATATCTCTTTTCTTTCCTGTTATGTAGGTGTGGGCCAGAATCACAACCAGCCGCCCTGTAGTGGACCGCATTGATAGCTGGACTGCCAAGCTTAGAAATGTGAGTGTTCAAACATATTTAGGGACATAATTGCATTTGAGTAAGAAAATACATCAGAAAACTAATCCATTTCTATTTGTATCTTTTGCAGTGGATCAGTGACACAATCTTGGTTCCCCTGGTCAAGGAAATAGACTCTGTCAACAGTCAGCTCAGGAGGATGGGCTGCCCTGAGCTCCAGATAGGAGGTAAACTATCTGCAGAGAAAATGAATCATGGGAAATGTGCTTTGACCTCACTTTGCTGTTGGGTTTAATGGGAATGCCATAAACCGAGTCATAGACCAAAGACCATAGAATATAAACTTATTTTATGTCTTAGACATATTAACTATTAAGAATTGTTATGGCTGTTATAATTTTTTGTTGGGGGGGGGTAATGAGCTATAGCACTTGAATATCTAAATGAACATGCAAAGTTAAGTTCAAGAAAAATGTTTTCATTTTGTTTTGGATTTTCTCAGAAATTAAATTAAAAAGACCATCACAATGCACAGCAAAACAAGCAGATTGTTTAGGGAGTTTATAACACGTGTCTAGTTCAATGGCAAAAACTTACTCTGAAATATATAAATTACAGTAGCCGATTTCAATGTACTCTTCTCGTAATTTTTGAGTCTCACTAGTTTTCACTCTTTCCTCCACCAGAGGCCAGCATAAGCAGCCTGAAACAGGCAGCGGTGATGAAAGCCTCATCCATCCCCACTATGAACTCTATCGTTCAGTATCTGGACATCACTCCCAACCAGGAATATCTAGTGGACCGCATAAAGGGTAGGTTCAACAATGCAGTGTGTCACGTTTGATATGATGGAGTGTAAAGGAGTGTTAAAGTCTGTGTGAGAGAAAAAAAAATGTTATGGTTTTAGAGTATAGTGGAACACATGTTTTTTTTTTATGTGCTTTGTGTATTCTGTCCTGTCAGAGCTGGCCCACAGCGGCTGCATGAGCTCCTTTCGCTGGAATGGTGGTGGTGACCTGAAGAACAGGAAGTGGGACACAGATCTCCCTACTGACTGTGCTGTGAGTCCACACAAATAAACACACACATGAAGTGAGTCTTTGACTCTTTTGACTGCGGGATAGGAGCTGTAAACATGACACAGTGGGTAGTTTTTCCTTGTCAGTGTGGGCTCACCAGTAAAATACCTCTGCTTAACAACTTTCTATCCCTCTAGATCCTCATGCATATGTTTTGTACATACTTGGACTCCAGACTGCCCCCCCACCCAAAGTACCCAGACGGGAAGACTTTCACTGCACAGCACTTCAGCCACACCCCAGACAAACCTGGTAAGTACATACACACACACACACACACACACACACACACACACACACACACACACACACACACACACACACACACACACACACGCCTAATAGGGAAGGAATTATAAAAGGCTTATGATTTCCACTGTATGCTTCTCATTCTTGAAACACAGCACCTACTTTCTATATTTGACGTCATACTTAAGTTCTTCATGGTGTTTCTGTTCTCTTGTAACTTTTTTATGTCAACTCCCATAGATGTTACGAAGGAGAACCTCTTCTGCGTCCACCAAAGCAGCACCACTCCCCCTCACTACCAGCTCATCTACCAGGGACATATCTACAGTCTACCCAAGGTGACAGCAAAAACAACCAGTTTTTCAGGCTCTTACGAAACAGCCTTTGTGCGTATTTTGCCCCTAAAATCAAATCCCAAGAGAAGTCTGTCTCACGGCTTTCTTATTTTGTACCCTCTGAGTTGTGCTATTTACAGTGCTCCCTGAGGTGGCACTGTAAATCAAACATAAGATCAAATCCTCTTTAATGACTCCCTTAAGGATTGGACTTGCCAAATGCTTATAAACGCAGAATAATAAATATAAAGGACATAGAAATAGTAGGGGGTATGGTAGCACAAATTCCCAACAGTGAGACATCATATTCTATATTACTGCGCAGTACAGCTTTTTCAACATAACCTATAAGACTTTTGAGAAATAAATCAGTTTTTAGCATTTTAGTTCGTACAGGGTCTTATGTTTGAGATCTGCAGCTAGAATTTAATGATTTAGGGCCAAAGATAAAACTGAATGATTGCTGTTTTTCTGCCCTTTACTAAAAAAAATTGGAACACTATATTGACTGTTTTATCGTTGGCTTGTAAGACTGGGTCCCACCTCATGTTTTCATTGTTCTCTTCGATTGAGAGTTCATTTTAAATGGAACTCTTAAATAGGTGGACTGGATTTGCTCTGTTATACACTGATGGAGCATGGAGAGCTTTGTATCCAGGAGCCTTCTTTATTCCAGTAATCCCCACATCCAACAAAGAGAAAAGCCAGCAAATTCAGGGCATCAGAACAGACTCTCGTTCGTAAGCAGTTCAGGATGTCTTCCTCTACTGTAACGCTTGCAATTGCAATAACATGAACCTATGTTGATTTCTGTTTATAGGGCAGGAACAACCTGTTCCACACAATCCTCATGTTCCTCTATGTCATTAAGACAAAGGAGTCAGGGATGCTGGGGTGAGTACTTCTACTTAAAATGCTATGAAAGCTTGAATAGCTCAAATAATCTTTAACAAAAGTATATAGCCTAAAGGTTAAGTGGGGAAATTGACCTTCCCTCATTACCACCACTGAGGTGCCCTTGAGCAAGGCCCTTAACCCCAACTGCTCCAGTGGAGCTGCTCAGTGGCTAGCAGATCAAACTGCTTATACTGGGCAGCTTTCAGGTGGGAATGTGATATGGATATTCTTACAAAAGAGAGTATTGCTCTCAGTGAAACCCCCCTGAATAAATAAAGGTAGGGAAAAAATTGAGAGTATAATGAAATATTGATTCATTTTCAACAAAAAGGTCTCACACCAAAGGGCAGATAGCATTTTGATTGAAAATGATTGGTTTGATCCTGCTTGTCTGCATAATTAAATTGCCTTTCATACTGTCTTCAGGAGAGTAAATCTTGGCCTCTCTGGTGTGAACATCTTGTGGATATTCGAAGACTGATGCACCGTCTTTTACAAGCAACAAAAAGCCTCAAGTGGGTATCCCCCCTCCCCGCCCACAATGCTGTGGCTACTCTGGTTGGAATACCACCTCAACTTAAGGACTGCTCTTTTAGGGGCACATCATAAAAGCAGCACTTCACAGACGATAAATGCATATTTTTGGGACATTTTCTCAACTTTGGCAACATTCTGTGTTGTCATTGACATTTTAAGTATGTGACACCACAGCGTGCTTATGATGCAATGCAGAGTTGTATTTTTTAACACTGTTTGGTTTTCTGATTTTGTATTTTGAGAATGTACCAGCATGGCAGCCTTGTAAATAATATACCTCAGATTTATCTGGTGGATGGTAAAGGGCTCGGACCCGTTTAGCATGAATGAATGAATACAGTATGTGTGGCTTTTATTTCTTTTTCTGGTATGCTGTTTTTTTGTTCCTGTAGTTGAGTGAATGTCTTCTACAGTAGAGATGGTCCTGACATGCTTGAAGTCACTTACATAAAATTGGTTCTTGTGAAAACGGAAGCAATACACAAACAGTTCAAGTATTGAAGTATTCAGTCATTGCGAAGCTTCCCTTAGTACTACGCTGCAACGCAACACATATCGTATGTAAGGTGTTGATTCTTTTCATATGTGAGAACAAATGGGAAAAACGTTTGAATCACCAAAATCAATATAGTGTCTTTTACGAAAGAGATCTGAATGCCATTTATCCTGACTGCTTGTGTCAGCCATTAGTTACGTTTCAAACTTTCCAGATGTTTGCTTGTTTTCAATAATGCCATTTTACAAATGTCAGGAGAGTTGAAAATAAAATTGAGATATTAAAAAAGAAACAGTTGAAAGCTTTTTTTTTTTTTTTTTACTATCATGGGCATCCACTTGGTGGCAATGTAGTTCACTTTATATGATTTGTCCCTACTGCTGCTCTCATATAATACTGCATATCCACCGCATGAGCGCTGTAATGTGATGCAGTGTCTTGTGCAGCAGCGTCCAGTGAATGACTTGAGGCTGACTGACAATTTAAAGTATTATTAAAATAATTTTCTGTCAACATTGGTTGAGGCCAAACTGTATTGCTAGGAAATGTGTGATGTAACAACATGCCCTTCATAATATACTATCATAAAAGATTATTATTAATGATTATATATTAATCTTCACGCGTGAGAAAGAAGCACATAATTAGGAAAATTACTGTTTAATTTTAAACGTGATAGCCCTGTGAGCACACTGCATTATCTGGCAGAAAGCGCGTTTGTTTGTAATTTACTGTCGTCCTCTTTTATTACAAACACAACTTCCCATAATGCATTTCGCAGTGTACCTTTTCCTGTTGGGAAATGTAGTCGCATGGTCATTTAGGCCCTTTCCCCCCCGACTTTTTGAAATGCATATAACAGTGGTGTTATTGTTTTTTCCTCGTGCTGACTAACGTTTTGTAAATGTCTGCGTGTTGTCATCATTGGTATTGATGGTGGCTCATAAGGGGGCGGGGTGAAATCTTTGAGATACTTGAGAGGAACTACAAGAACCGCAATGCATTTGTCCGTCGTCGCTCCTCCGCTCACATCCGCTCGACCTGCTATTTGTGTTGGAAAAAGGACTTTGTGAAACTGCAGCGATGTCAGTCCAGGTTGTGGCAGCGAAAATGGCAGAGGTCGAACTCAAAGACGTCCCCACCGGCAAAGACTTGCCGGCCGGTTCCCCGATGACACCGACCTCGGAGGGCAAGACCCTCGCCAGAAACGACCCACACGAGGCCGGTTCCTCTGCCGCTGCTTCCCCTACAGCGGAGCCCTCCGCGAAAGCCGGGGAAGGCAGCCTGGGCTTGCTCACCCCGAACCCCGCGAAGATGCCCCAGGCGTCGGCTATGAAGCGGTCGGACCCGCAGCAGAACGGCGGAGAGGCTTTTGTCAACCGTGACGGTACCGTTGCCGAAGCACCGCGGATGAAGAAGGTGAGTGAGATAACGTTTTCCCTCTCTCCCCCTCCTCAGTAGCTGCTTTACATTCTCGGATGTTATTGGACCACCACTAAGAAGCACCTCGCCGCAATGTAGAGCTCGCTGGGGAAGGCTGGCATTGTGTGGCGATGCTAACAGGCTAACTGTGTCAGTTGACGCTTTTAATAATGGTCTTCTGTGCTAATAACAACCGTGGAGGCTGTAATAAGGGGGTCTTTAAAAATAGGTATACCCATTTCTGTTAGGCTGACATGGCTAAATCTGTAGGACATGAACTCGGTAGCTGGACAAAAGTATCCAACTGTGCTCACAAGTTTTTTTTGTTGAGATGAGGTGTTTTGAAGAAGAAAAAAAGACTTTGCTATTCACTTCTTTAAAAAACAACAACATAGCTGACACTTATTTTTTGGTTGGGTTTTGGATGTTTGACTTCATGCGCAACAAAATAACGCTACGCATTACATAAGATACATAACAGGATGTTAAAATAAACAGTCGGTTATATGAAAGCCTAAGTTGCTGTCTTAGCAAAATAGTTAATGTTAGACACGTGGTATCCTATTGCAGAAGGGTGCTGGCAAATGATTAAAGTATGGTTGTGTCAGTAAGAGCAGAGCTATCTTACTGGGCAAACATAATGTAGATGAAGTAAAGGTTCAAGTGATCTGTGCTTCTTGTTGACCTCAGGTTAGTATATTAAAATTAACAGCTTGCAATACATGGCCTGGTCATTTTTAGTTTGACTAATGCAGTGCCACCCAAGGGGTGTGTGTGATCTAACTCAGACATAACAGTAGTCAGTAATCCGTGACCCCAGGGCACTGCTGTCACCTAGTTTTCACAAGCCTGTTTTAGCCTTTAGAGCACCTATACTTCAGTGAAGGGAGTTCCTGCCCTTGTGGCTTAATTCAGAGGTCGGACTGACTTAGCATGTCTTTTTTTTTTTTTTTTCTTGGTGAGTAAGGGTCCAAAAAAACTACTTGGCTGCGGTTATGCCCTAAATGCATCTTATCTTTCTGTGGCTCACAAAGCCTTGATTAAGGCAGAAGTGGATATGAAGGGCAAGGTTCAAGGAAAAGAACAAGTTTTTGATAAGGAATCCTTTGAGGAAGCTTCCAGCTCTATTCCTCTGATCGAACTTATTATTAACAGTTGACAGTGATTTATAGGCTGTGGTCACTGTAGTGCACTTTGTCAATGGTGGTCAGATTCAGGAATTGGTTTTAGATATGTGTATGATGAGAGACTCTCTGATTTATTGATTCCTGCAGGCATACATCTTAACAAGCACAATGCTTAAAAAAAAAAAGGTTTTAAAATGGGTTTAACTCAGTGTGTTGTCCCCCCCCCCCACTGTGACATTAATGCAAAAATACTTGTTTAGTGTGTTTTCACAATGAACGATTGGGGATGTAAATCAAAAGGTTGGGTAATTGTCGGGGTGAAACTGAGGGACAGAACCAGTCGGATGGGATACACTCGCCTCCCACACCCACTGATTCTGCCAGACAATGATCCCATCCCGCTAGGCGACCCCAAAGAACACCCCAATAGAAGACCAATAGGAGGAGAGCATGGGTAGTACAGTTTGAGAATGGATTGCGCACCGACGGCAGCTGCGAGCAGATGGCTTTACGTTCCTCAGACTGTTACAGCAAGCAGGCATATGGAAATAAACCAGCAGCCAGGAGCACTGGACCTACAGGCTGGAACACATTTAGGGGGCAGCCCCAAACCGGACAATCTGGACAGCGACCGCCACATCTGGATTATTGAGGAGACGAAGTTCAAATACAGAACCATGGTAGAGAGAGTTAATTTCCAAAATATGCGACATTTTATTTAGTAAAAATATCATGATATCAGAGGTTTATAATTTAGTATCTCTTGAAATAAAGAGATTTTGTTGTAAAAGATTCTCTAAACTAGCATCAAAGTTGTTTTTAAATCTCTACTTTTTATTATTTTCTAAGGTTAACTGATTTTTAACAAATACATGGTATTGTATGTTGAAATAAAACTTAAGGGTTATAGTTGGTAGAAACTTTAAACTATATAATTTTTTTTTAATTGGGACCCACTGTAGTGACTCTGTTTATATCCAATCAGAAAGTATCATTATAATGTTTCTATTGTATGTGTAGGATATTCTTTGTCAACAAAAGCTTGATGTAAAGAGAAACTGTACTACAGTGATCATTTCAATCTAAGAGGGGGCATATTTTTTAATTCGTATAATGCAGAGCCTTAGCAACGGATAACAGATACTAAACACATTGAACCAGAAATCCGTCCATTATATTAATTTAAATACTCCAAACACACTGCATTTGTCTGATGAACAACTTCAGTGTATATCCACTGGGACAGAAGGGTCTCTCCAGTGTATTTATAGATCACCAGGCATTGTGGTTCTTATGGCACACACTTATGGCCTTGCACATCTGCTTAATTCTGCTTGTCCAGTGCAGTACAGGGTAAGTACAGCAGTGGGGATGTGAATGTAAGTATGCAGGCAGGCAGGCAGGCTGGCTGGCTGCAGTGTTGACTGACTGAGTGACTGGATGACTGGCTAGCTTTTAATCCAAGCCTTTATCATGTCGCCACATGAGGGGATTAAAAGGGCCAGCTCTCTGTTGTAGGTAGGTCCAGATGTAAGCTTTTGGGGTCAGTGACTAGTTTTATTGTAACCCGCGTTGGCTTGGCACGAATATCTCCAGCTTCTGCAAACATCAGGGTGATGTCTCTCCTGCTAGCAAGAGAAGGGCACTAGAAGGTAGCAGGACTGTGTGCTAACATACACAACTATTTGTGTTCGTATGGCAAGCTTGGTTTTAGTCTCATATTGGGTCAGTATGTTCACTCTCCCAATTGGCTCTACTGAAGCCTCACTCGATGATTTACCTGTTGAGCACACGGACCAAACACTTTCCAACTTGTTTGTAAGCCATCACGGTGCTCCCTTTCACAATTCTCCCCCGACCCTCTACATTTTGGCAATGACTGAAATACCTAGCACTGTTTTAGGAAAACGTTCACACACTCTCAGTGACAGATTTGAATGAGTGTGTTAGTGAGATCATCCCTCTCTGATGTAATGTTATGTCACTCACTAAGCTGGTGTTCCTGGTAGTGCGCACTGGTAAACAGGCTTACAGTGAATGGTGGCTGCTCTACTTGAGGAAAAAAACTGTGTGGAAGAAGAGGTTATGTATGCAAAAAGACGTCTGGGGTTTAATGTAAAAAAAAAAACCTTTTTGCGAACCCATTGTATTTCATGATTCCCACATGTAATCCCTAAGCATTTGTATTGTTGGCGTTTTGTTCCAACCTTCTTTGTCTAAGCCAGCTAGCCAAGAAGCTACACTCCTGCAGTGTGGTGGGGTGAGTAGTAGGTGTGTAGGCAAGCAAATATAACTTGTTGAAGCTATTGGAGCTGAAGGTAAATGGTTAATGAAGAAATTACTTAAGCTAACAAAATGCCTCAGCGTGTTGTTAGTTCTGTAGCCAGTTTGCTCATTAGTTCCATTCACATTCTCGTGACTATACAAAGTTATCTAGTAAAGGATAAGAAGTCGCCGCGCTGTAGATTGTCGGCATTGTCGTCTTCGTGCGAGGTCACCACGAATCTTTATCTGCCTGTGACTGTCCTGGTCTACGATGGATAACACATCACTTTCCCTACCCTATATGCCCTCTCATTTGTGAGTCACCTCTGAGACTGAGCTGGTCTACATGTGTCTGTGGTTGTGCGCACACAGTGATCACATGCACTTCCCCAGGGGATCATGTCTTCTTTCATTGGAGTCAAAGTGTTGTCATAGTCTAATCCTACTTTTGTCTCTTTAACAAATGGAGTTAGAGAATAACTGCTTCAGTTATGTCCATAAATCGCCTGAATAAAGTCAATTCTCTTGGACTGTACACACACACACACACACACTTGTGCAGGTGTTTCTTTACAGTAATAATGATGAGTTGTATTTCTTTACATCAGAACAGAGACCAGCAGAAAGATGCAGGCTTCTCTAACATTGCGGCTATAAATATGTAAATGGTGTCTGTTTGTAATAGATTGACATAAGTTTTAGTTTTTGAGAAGGTTTGTTTCCCCTATTCACAGTACAGCACAAGCTTTTTAAAATGCATATTAAAGGAAGATGTGCTAAATGTTAACCATCTTAATGTCACAGTGAGTATACTAGCATTTGCCAGCTGCGCCGTTGTCGTCAACATAATAACACACCGAATGTGATTTTAATTTGTAGTACGCTGCCAACCTCAGACACTTTCCCACATGAGACAGATGGAGAATCTTTTAAGGCATACAAACACACATCCCCCTGCTCTGTGTTGACAGGGGGAATGTGGCACCATGGTGTGAAGTCTGAGAGAGGGAGAAAAGTAGAGCACTGGATCCAAATCCAGTCGTCTCTCAGTTCTCTTTTGTTTTTACGTGGATGGTTAAGCTCAAAGTATAAATGTTGACTGTCCTAATAATCCCAAACTTTGACCTGTGGCTTGTGGAGGTCCCAGAGGGTTTTGGTTAAAGCTTTGCAGTTTCAACACCATATATTCACCTCGTTCGTGGACAAACTGACAGTAGGTTTCTCACTATCACATCACCTTTCCAAGCAATTTGTTTTTGATGGAGAAATCAAAAGATTAATGCTGTTTAAACATGTAATTTATCAACATGTCAAAACATATTTCAAAGTGGTATGCTCAAGCTGGACTAGAAAACAGCCTAAAAGGGGACGTGACCCACTTAAACCTCTCCTCCTCAAATACGGTTATAATTTGAATATACCCTTATCTCTCGAATAAACTTACTCATGTAAAACACTATTTTTAATGTTGTCACTTTTTGTAGCCTCCATTCACAGCATCCTATCAATATCTTTAAACCTACACGGGCAGCTTAAAGAGAGCCTGTCTTCTTTAAGAGTAACATTAATGTTGTTTAGGAAAACTGAGTGACAGGAGTTAAAGCC